AAAAACAATGAAATCCTTCAAACTCCAGGGGCAAGACTGAGAGGCCTCCTGAATTGATCTTCATCTTCTCTTCAACATAGGCCCAAAGTGCACTGGGTGGAGGAGTCAAGGGGAGACTGCTGGTTGCTTAATAAACTTTCATCTCTGCAACAGAAGTGATGGATTCCTCCTTTCTTCACCAGCATAACATTCTGTAAGGTGCTAACTGTATGTCTAGCAGGAACTGCTCACATTTATGATTCCTTACATTCTTCCCCTCAGGCACACTCCACCTTCCATCTCTAGAATATGAAACCTTGCTGTGTTGATACTGGCTCCAAATAACTGTTCAATGCCAGCTCCCTGCAGCAGGCTGAATTTAAGCTACCCAGGAAAAAAGGACCCTCTCTAGACAAAACTCATTCCTTCAGTGCCATCTTACCTCATTCTGTACCCACATCCCTACCCTACCCACCTTCAGGGCCAATATGAAAACACAAAAGAACCCATATTTGGAATGGAAATTACATAATTCCAACCCTAGTGGTAATGGTAGGAGCCTTTTGGAAAGGTGTGGTTCATGCAGGGCTCCCTCTCCAAGTCAGCACAACCGGCAGCTGGGAAGCATGAAGATTTTCAGGAATAATTTTCAGTATTCCCAGATGCAATTTGAGTTCTGTCATACCCTGTCATGGGGCAAGAACCCAGTGCAGTGTCTGGTGTCCTGAGAACCCATCCTCCCAAAACTCCAAATGACCTTCTATCTTAGTCTGAGCCAGCTTCTCTCCACCTCCCATGTCCAGGTTCCCTAGAATCCTGTGAGGATCCAAGCACCCTTTCTACCTGTGTACACCAAGATTATCGTCCATGATGGATCTTGAGCACCAGCTCTCCTTCTGACCCATTCATAAAGGACCAGGAGGCAGAGTATGTCCTCAGAACTCTAGTCCAGAGCTTCCACCTAGGTCAAGGCCATATCAGTCCTCCTCATGCAGAGGAGTCCTGCTCCTGACCTCAGAGCTCAACAAAGACAAGTCACACTCAGCAGCCTGATCCCTTGCAGGCTCTTCCTTTTGGGCACCACTGACAGTCTGGTCTCTGGGAAAGAACTCACTGATTGGTACTCTGGATTATAATGTCCATCTATGTGAGACAGCCTGCCTCTGTAACAGGACAGAAGATCATTCTGCAAAGCAGCAGTCATCATGGAATCCATGTGGTGTTTCTGTGGCTTTCCTGGCCTGCATCTCAGTTTAAAATATACAAGAATCACAGGCATCTTCTTTTCAAGATAATAAAACTTATTTGAAGTGTCCTGATGTCACATGGTAGAGCACATTATCACATCAGATCCAGAACTGCTGATTATGGGGTCTAGAGGAAATAGAGACTTTCTAGTCCTATCAGTGCTTAAGACTTTCCCTCTCAGGAGGCAGGAGGAAGATGGGAAGAAGGACCACAGTGTGAGCAAGTCTGTCCTAATTTAACATTGTGGCATATACAAACACTCAGACATGAAACATAGTTCATATTTTTCTGAAATCTGGGGTCTGACTTTAAGCATG